GGAACCCAGAACTGAACCCGGGGAGGATCTGAACTCACATCAAACACGTACAGGGAGGGGGGGCTAAGAAAACCCCTACCAGCTGCAAGAATAAACCCAGCGCCGAGGGTACCAACATCCAAGCGGGGTCAAACAGGGCCCCAAGCCCCCCCAAGTCAACTCCTTCCCAACCCCCAGAACCCTCCATGTCAGGACCCGGGGTAGAGCTGTCCTTCAAACCCTATGCCTCTGGAGAAAAGGCAAAGTCCACTGGAAAATCAGGGAAGAAGGGGTCCACTGGTCCGACCCGAAAGTCCCAGCAGTAGGAACCGGCCCGAATGCCTCCGCTGCCGAACCGGAAGGGGCAGCCCCCGAAACTGCCAGAGTCTCACCACCATCTAAACCTGCCCCAACTCCGAAACCCTCATAAGTTTGGGAGCCGGAAACAAAGGATGAGGGGGGAGGGGGGGGGGGAGAGGGAAGTAGGACGAATAACAGAAGATGATGGACAAGATGGCACGGACGAAACAATAGTCAAGGTGACAAACGTCGCCATGTCTGGGTCCCCATGACCAAGGTGGGGCAGCTTTGGGGTATCCGGAAAGTCCAACCAACCTAGTACGTTGCAGCAACCCAAACCTCGCATGCAATGACAAAGCTGCCTGCACCCGAATATCAAGATCAGTGAATTGTGTGAACTAGAGTACAAACAAGGAACACCACTCGCAGGACTCTGGGACAAAGGTGTCATTGACCTGACAGGCAGCATCTATGCCGGGCAAACTGGCCCTTGTGAAGGGAGCAACCTCGGGGAGCCAAGAGGACCACCAAACCGAACCTAGGCATACCTAATGGGAGGCCAGGTAGCCCTTCACCAAGCAGGAAAAACTAAAAAGAAAGAAATGAACCCCGAGAGTGCTCCATCACAACAGAAGGCCAGAGAGAGGCACAGTTGCCGCTGTCATTCGAGCTGTGCAGAACCGTGCACCCCAACCAGCAGCAAACACTCCCTACCCAGGTGCCAAGCTAAAGTGCCAAAACCCAAGTTGACCCCAAGGGTGAGGCAAAAGCCAAATGACCACTACCCCTACGGGAGTCAGACCTGAAAACGAGAGGGAAGGGAAGAGAACCCTGAAACCCAAGGGCAGTACTTACAGGGTGCCTAAGGAAGTGAACCTCAAGCACATGCAACCTTAGTACTTGTAACTCCTGGTCAATGCTCCAACACACAGCAGGTACAACCATTAGGGTCAAAATCCTGACATGCAATCGAGACCAGAGTAGACATCCGCCCCAGTCGGCTTCAGTCGACAAACTGGTGGGCAGACCACTGGCTCGGTGAGGAGGGGGCCCTTCCCCTCTCCTTCTTAGGTGGGGAGGGGAAACGAGCGGTGCATCGGGTTGATGACAATTTACTTGTTTCCTTGTTTTTCTTGGGGGAGTTTCTAACTTCGGTTTCAGTCTCTGGCTGCAATTTTCTATCAGTTGAAGTCTGTTTTGGGGCGCCTACTTTTCTGAGTGCCTAACCCCGGTTGATGGCAGACATGAATATACTTTCAAGGAGTAGAGTTTTCATAGGCCATTGCTCCCTTCGCCTGAGGGAAACAGGTTCTGGCTCGTGGTTCCCGGTAGGTATGACAACTCCATATGACTGAAGTTCCAGACTAATATAGCTAATATCAGTCTTATAGCTCCAGGGAGCCGACTGGGCTCCCAATCAGAAAAAGTGGGGATATGTTCACCACATACAAAATAGTAACAGGTTTCTACAAAATTGACAGAAAAATTTGTGAAAACTGCAACTTCAAGAACACGACGGCATAAGGTAAAACTAAGGAAACATTTATGCTGCAGAAAAACCTTAGAAAGTTCAGTTTTGCAAACAGTGACAGACAGTTGGAACAAGTTAAGAAAAGGCCTAAATTGTCAGTACTAGTACTGTAGAAACTCGCTAATCCGGGATCCGCCAATCCGGCAAAATTTATCTCCCTATCCGACCAACATGTCCAAAGAAGCAGGACTAGCGGATATTTGGCTGGATCAGCATATAAGGATAGAGTTTGAAGCAAACAAATCTCTCCAAAACCAAGGGTCAACTTGCTGCCAAATATAAAATGTGAACCTTTATCATTGAGAGAGAAACCAGTGAAATGCCTGGCCTAACACTCATTGTACACCACCACCAGGAAGGAGGGAGCCATGAAAGGATGGAGGGAGTCAGTCAGGAAGAATGGGAGGGAGTGAGGGAGTCAGTCAGTGAGTCGGCCGACTCACTGGCTATTTACCGACTATTCACCGACTGAATATTTACAAGAAAATAAAATGGATTTTAACAGAACTTAAGGCGCATATGTTAAAAGTCATCATACAGCGTGTCAACACCCATGTGCTGACACTCGTAGGGGTGGGTTGGGAAGGACTTGCGTGGGGAAGGGGAGACGGTGAACAGGAAGGAGATATGTGATCTGTCTGTCAGTCTGCCAAGTGTTGGCACGCCCACCCACCCACCTGCCTGACCCACCCACCTGCCTGGCCCACCCCACCTACCATAACCCACCTGCCTGGCCCACCCACCTGCCTGACCCACGTACCTACCATAACCAACCCACCCACCTGCCAGAACTAAAACCTTTCCTGGCCTGCCAACTCACTTGCCTGAACCCACCTATCCCTTTCTGAACCTGCTTGCCCACCCATGCACTTGCCTGCCCACCCATGCACCTGCCTGAACCTACCTATCCCTGCCTGAAACTGCCTGCCCACTCACCTGCCACCCACCGAGCCTATCTGCCTTCCATCCACCCATCCAAAACCTGCCAGCCTGAACACACCTATCCCTGCCTGCCCACCCACCCAACTGTCTGCCCACCCACTTGCCCTGCCCACCTACCAGCCAGGCAGCTAACCACACACCTAGTTTCACACACTAATTAGTGTGGGGAAATTCAAATTATGGTGTTTGTGGTACAAACATTTTTGGAAATGTTCATTTTTGAACTTCTACCGTGAAAAGTACATTAATCTGGAAAATATACTAATCTGGCTGGGGGGCCCTTTCCATATAGTCCGGATTAGCAAACTTCTACAATAGCTTCAAAGTCATATGACAAAGAGTGCTGGTAAGATGGGACATCACGAGCATAGCTTTCATCCTGTAACTACACTTAGGTCATTATCACACACGTAATTGTCAGAACAGGGGGCAATGCTAGAGAAGCACCAAGGGAAGGGAACAACCCCCCAGGACCTACTGTGATTTGACGACCCACAGAGCACTGCTAAGTCAGTCATAATCAGCGACAGGACTCCTCTTGGAACTGGCTGATTCTGGGGCTCTGTGCTGCCTGGTGGTGCCTATTGGTATTAATGGCTTTGAGCTAGTTTGTAGTGAATCACTTGCTTAAAATAAATAGTTTGTGGAGTCGTTTGGCTTCATTACCAAATGAATACCTACATCCCTCCCCCCTTTCTTGGTGGGGAGGAAAGACTCAATTACCTCCACTGCCAACATGAATAAGGCAACCATCCAGTGATGACCCAGCCCCCAACTCCAAAAACCTCAGGAGTTTCGAAGCTCTGACCAAAGGCCATTTGAACAAAACCAGACAAACCAGGGGCAAGAGATGGAGGTGCAAATTTGGAGTAAGTGGCCAAAATGAACTGCCCCAAATCCAAATCATAACAAAATGGGACCAAATCTGGAGCAACCACATTGACACCAAGCTGCACTTAATGCATATGGACATAATTCTCCCATAAAATTGTTCCCACCTGGTAAGCTATGTCCCTAGATGAGGGCTCAGCTAAAACAGAGACCCAACAATGATACATGTTGCAGGCCTCAGAGTGGAAGGTGTCACACACTCAGCAGGTGGCATGGCAGAGGCACAAAGGCTGACCATTGGTATATAACAGAATTGTGGTACATCTTTAAAACTCGCACACAGCACGTTACAGGGATGCTCCCAACCTGGCTGTTACAGGGAGTCACCAAGGAAGCCCTCCCAGAGAAGTCAGTATAACGTGTTTAAGATGGGGGACAATCAAGATACAGTGCTATAAAGATAGAGAGAGAAGATTTAAACAAGGCATAAAATTTACAAAATCAGTTTCAGTCTATTAATAATAATACATGGTATTAAATGTATGTACAATTCAGATAGTTATCCTTCACTACTGTAAGAGATTTTATTAAAATTATATTAATACAGTTTTCATGTAAATTTAAAATATAAATAATACAATCCAGTAAAAGGCCACAGCTGTAGTTCAACTAGTAAGCAGCATATGCACATGATTAATAACGAACAAGTCAACAGTGTAATTTGCAAGTTTATAAAATAATAAACTGACCATAAATGACACAAAAGTACAAATAAAGTGAGAAAAGTTAGTGTGAAGCCTTTGAGCGGTAGAGATGTGGACAGGTTGTACGGAGGAGGGCATGTTGGTAGTGGGATTAGTCAGAATCTCAATCAATACGTACCGATAATAAACAGATGAGAGACCAGCCACATAAACACATACTGTACCTACTGCTTACTCTATGATCAACTCATCAGGGCATTTAGGCCCAATAATTAACACTAATAAAGTTGAATTTCATTTTATATGGGAAGTCAGGCCTCTCAATTGTTTGATTAAATCACACGGAAAATGTGCTATAAAGTTTCACAACTACACATAGCATGAAGACCAATTTGTGGCAGAAAACAGGCATGGCATTATCTAAAAGCCTGCAGGTAAAGCTTACAGTCTACACAAAATACAAGCATATCACTTGCTCTACAAACCATGTTGTTTACAAATAGTTCAAAGACAGATCCAATATAGCATACCATTATTTCAAGAATTTTATCTTATGATATAATTACAACAAATACACAAGTATCATGCAAAGGCTGCATATTCCACAGATATGGATCTGTCTTCAAGATTGAAATGAGCGAGCGAGCAAGCAAGCAAACTAGGACAAGCGGCAGCAAGCACAGACAGGGCCAATGGCGGGGGGAGGGGCGTACCCGTGGGCGAGGCGTCTTGGCCAGCAGATAGGTAGCCAAGGTAACTGTCCTGAAACTCTGCCAGACCAGCTAGAGCATCAGATTGGAAGGCCTGCGGCTGGTAACTCGCGCCAGCTGAGGCGGGATCAGCCCTCGGGGTGGGGGGGTTGTTGCCACCCCCTCTGGACCGTCCACCCCCAGAGTTTGCCCTGCCCCCCTTGTGTGTATGCGAGAGATGGTAGGAGAGACCCTGTCTGGTCTTGTAGCGAGCGCCACACACTGCAAGTCAAAACCAATATTCCCTGCAGCCCGCACTTCCCACAACAGTTTATCTTGTATATTATATATATATATATATATATATATTATATATACATTATATATATATATTATATATACATTATATATATATATATATATATATATATATATATATACATTATACATTATATATATATATATATATATATATATATATATATATATATATATATATATATATATATATATATATATATATATATATATATATATATATATATATGTCGTACCTAGTAGCCAGAACTCACTTCTCAGCCTACTATTCAAGGCCCGATTTGCCTAATAAGCCAAGTTTTCCTGAATTAATATATTTACTATAATTTTTTTCTTATGAAATGATAAAGCAACCCTTTTCTCTATGTATGAGGTCAATTTTTTTTTATTGGAGTTAAAATTAACGTAGATATATGACCGAACCTAACCAACCCTACCTAACCTAACCTAACCTATATTTATAGGTAAGGTTAGGTTAGGTAGCCAAAAAAAGCTAGGTTAGGTTAGGTAGGTTAGGTAGACGAAAAAACATTAATTCATGAAAACTTGGCTTATTAGGCAAATCGGGCCTTGAATAGTAGGCTGAGAAGTGCGTTCTGGCTATTAGGTACGACATACATATACATATACATATATACATATATATATATATACATATATATATATATATATATATATATATATATATATATATATATATATATATATATATATATATATATATATATATATATATATATATATATATATATATATATATATATATATATATAAGACAGCAGTTATATATAAATATACATAGATATATATATAGATATAAAAATCATACACCCTGTATTGTACTTTTGGAAAATCATAAATGAAAAATTAGCTGACAATAATCTTTAGTTAAAATTCTTTATCAAGAGTGTCTTGACACCCTCAAAGAGAAAGATGGTGCCTTTAATACAATGGTGACTACAATGAACTCTAGGAAATTTACATGGTAGCTGAAGAGTAAATGCACTCACTTAAAAATATTAATGGTTAAACACCTCTGACTGTTGCTCATTGCCATATTTGTTATAAATGGCAAGATACATGGAGAACAAAGAGCAACACAAGTACATAGTACCATTGCCAACTACTAGTTAGTCATTACTAGCACTGTCAGTTTGGTTCACTTGTGTACAGTGTACTGCACCACACTAACCCATATCCAATCTCATCATTCAATAGCAGCACTTTCTCTAAACATACTTAAATCCAAATCAACTTATATTTTCAGAGATATTGCTTAATACTGAGAAATTTAAGCTTTAATTGCAACTTCATTTTTAATTGCAAGTTAATGTTGCAATTAAGCTTTAACTGCAAAGTTCAGCTCATCAATTTATCTCGACGTAAAGTTTAAAATTTAGTGAAGTAGGCAATTACTTGTCAGGTCTGTTAGTTGGGTGTATATAAACGAATATAATACAAACATACTGTATAACCCATTCATAGAAAAGCTCCAAGAAAATATTTTATATACAAAAAATTAAAAAACCAGCAATGAATGTAATGAAACAACAATTTCTGGGGAAGCCTCATGAATCACTGAGACTATTAACGCACTAGGTTGTATCAGCTGTGGCGCTCTATAGGAATACATACCAGGGACCAGAGCCAGAACCTAGTATTTTTTCCCCTCACAGAGGTGAAGGCAGCAGTCACATTTTGGCACCTCACCAGAGAAGGCAACCAGAAAGTTAGCACATCAAAACAAACTACAGTACATCAAAAAAAAAAAAAAAAGAGACACACCCAAGCCCTAAAACCATCCTAATGAAACTCCCCAGCTATGTAAACAATGATCAAATTCTCACAAAACAAGCACGAGCTCCTTGCTCCTCACCTCCCCGACTCATATGGGGGGAGGGGGTAAGTAGCTCACCACCTGCTGGGGTCTAAGCTGTCATTAATTCTAGAGTAGAATTAAATACCCACTTGACGAACAGGAAGGGAGGGAATTAGGAAGCTACCGGGGCTCACCCAGAAATTGGCATTTCAATACATTCAATGCTGGTTTTCTTGGGAGATCCGCTTGTAGCTTTCTGAAGGTAACTACCCAAAGATAAGTAAAAGGGGGGACTTACCTGGGAGGTGGCAGCACTGCAGGTCTCAAGACAAAGAAGAGAAAGACACCCGCGACAGGTACCCCAAAGCCACACACAGTCGGGATGAAACTGGAACATTCACTAGATACCTGGAGACCAGGACCCTGTTCACCTCCAAAACCCCCGTGCCTGAATGTCTATCCTAAGACACATTGCCAAAAACTGCTGCGAAACGTCATGGGCACAGAATAGATCTCAGGCTGACTAGACTTGATAACACTGCGGACAACCTGAGACACACGAGCCCTGGAACAGGGAATCATGGAAACCGGATCCACCCAAAAAGCGTCCACCGACACAGAACCAGTTGCCCGCAGGTAACGGCATAAAGCCGCCACTGGACACTACATGTGATGCACCCCCAGCCTAGCCAACCAAGTATCTACAAACCACGGACCCCTAAAGAAGTGCGACATCTCATTCTTAGTCAGAAAAGAAGAAGGCTGCAAATGAACAAAACGACTACCTGGACCAAACAAACAGAGCCCCCGATGTTGGAGGAGAACATGAGGCTCCCCAACACAATGCCCTCCCCCCTCCTAAGCCAAGGCCAACAAAAACAAGGCCTTCCAAAAGCAATCCCTAACTGAAGTGGACCACAATAAAGCGAAGATAAGAAAGAACACTGTCTAAAGATAAAGAAGGCTCAGGTGGTGCACGAGCAGGCCGGAGGTGTAATAATGCATTTGAAAGCTTGCGGAATGGAGCGGAAGCAACATGCACCATGAACACAAGCTGGAGCGGCTCCACCAACACTGTGCAATAAGAAGCGACAGTATTAGGCATGAGATGCCAATCCAGAAAAAGCCAAGGAGAAAGGACAAAACAACCTGACCCAAAATCGACGAAAACCTTTGAAAAGAAATAAAGTGATAGAAAGACCATCAAGAAACTTCATACTGTTGCTGGAGGGACACCATCAGAGAAGCCACCTGCTCACCATATAAATGGTGATACACACGTGTTAGGTAGACCAGATGCATAGTGCGGAGCAGTTAGGCGAACTTGGTCTCACTGGTCCGATCTGCTGGAAGAATCGGAGCCATGGAAAAATGCCCGGGTTCAGACACAGAGCAAGCAGTACCTGAAACCAAGGCTAGGCCGGCCACCATGGAGCCAGAAAACTCCCCCTCCCTGATAGGATTCCAAGCGAGCTAGGACCTAGAGCAACAGATGGACCGGGGGGAAAAAGGTACAGGAACCCCCATTTTGACCAGTTTTGCCGAAAAGCATCTACCATAATGGCCTCGCAGTCGGGGAAATGCGCCACGTACAACAGGAGATGCCGAGACCACCGTTACACAAAGAGGTCCACCTCCGGGTGCCCGTACGTCCGGAAAAGCCAAAGGAAGGAGGCGGCGTCGACCGTCCACTCCGTGGAAAGAAGAATGAAGAGTGACAGACTGTCTGCTAGAACATTGGACACTCCATGAATGTGAACAGCACGGAGAGCTAAACCCAGAGAACTAAGCAGAACAGCCACCCAAGGCGACCTGCCTCAAAAAGCCACAGACCGAAAGGACCCTCTGCTGTTGAAACAAAGAACCACGGGGGAGCAGTCCAAATGGAGCCGGATCAACAAGCCTCGAAGAAGCCGAATCTGGCACAGCACCTGCCACACTGACACAAACTCCTGCACTGTGCTGTGAGCCTGACGTAAGAACAGCCCCACAATGACCCTGGTTGGACGGTGAGCACTGGTCACCAAGTCCCAACCAAGAGACAAGTGTCCATGAACACATCGAGTGAGGGAAGAGGAAGACGCCATGGCACTGAGCCCCGAAAAACCCGAACAGGAAGCCGGCAATGCAGCAACCAATGCAAGGCCACTGGGGATCGAACCCAACGATCACGAGTGGTGAAAGATCTGCTCGAGCAACCACCGAGTGACCCGGGTCCCCCTCAAAAACAGCCGAAGATGGTACTGCAGCCTCAGCAGGGCTGCAGGAGGGAAATAAGGGGATGAAGTCTGAGAATACCATACTAAGTTACTGGGACTTCCGCCAGTTTACCAGGAACCTGAACCCGGCAAGCTGGCTGGGAAAGAACCAGACCAGAAGTGCCAGAAACCAATGCTGAGTTGGTCACTAGAGCCATAAGGATCATCCTCCCTAAATACAATTCCAAAATGGACAGAACCCAGAACAACAACTGAACCGGGGAAAAAAGATAACTATCCCTCCACCTCGACTAGTCCAGTCAAGAGGCATCCACTTCGATAGCCTTGTGATCAGGGAAAAAGAGTGTCATATTTTCCTGAGAGTCGCGAGAAACCCACTTGAAGGACAAGGACGATTGGCCACGCCCAAGTGCACCCACTCCAAGATGACCCGATGGAGTGAAGGGGAAGAAGCCTGCCTCACCAGCTCCGATCCTGTGAGAGGAGGAGCTGCCCACCACCACCACAGGCCAGCGAACATGACCCAAAATGCCCATGAATTGTGGGACCAAGCATGGGCAAACAGAGCCAGCCTCCACCCCATCGCCCCGTTAATGAGGCGACCCGTGAAAAGGCCGGCACCCCATCAGAGAAGCCAACCTATGTGCAGAGCGACCACCATGCCAACCAAACAAAGACGGCTCTGGAGGAGGCACCGGCAAAGAAGCTGGCACCTGAGCCCACTTCGACCAGCAGAAGCCTGAGCCCTGGCACGACCTTTCCGGGAAGCTCGAGAACACCCACCCCTGGATCACCAAGAAATCAGAAAGAGGACTGCAACTAGCAGAAGCCGCAAGTATAAACTGAGAAACAACCGTGACCGAGAACAATAATGAACAGAAAGAAGATGAAAACTTTAGAGCCAGGGCCCAAGCCGAATTAAAAGA